GCTCTTGACCGAATATTCTCATATTTTTTTCGGGAAAGTTTGATACCATGTTTAGCTCTTATCATATTAAAACGGAATGAGCGTCCGTTCAAGATAACCGTCAGTAAGCGCGATTTTTGTAATACATTGCATATATGGGCAAAAACATGCTATGAAAAGTCCATTGGGATGAATAGGGATTGCCAATTTTTTTTTCATATTTAGATAGAGTATGAGTCGGAGGTATGATTTCATATCTCATTTGGCCATTAAGTACATCTTGACGGCATCATAATGGCCTTGGAAGTCAAAAATACAAAAATTGCATATTATGACGTCATGTATTTATGGAAAATGTAGTGTATTTCTCTCAATATTCATCGATTCTCTTTGAAATGTCGATATGTTGTAGATAAGGCAATTCTCTACAAGATCACTTTCACTAAGTTTCATTTTAATGAGGTCATCATAGTACAAAATTCAATTAAAGGCCACATGTCAGAATTTTCGTCATTTGCGTGTTATGTCTATGGAAGGTGAATTTCGTTCACATCATGAATCTACATGGCATTCATCTATGAGCACTATCTATCTTATGTGTGCTCTGTTTTCTCCAAAATTGGGGTATGTTATAGCTGAGACCATGGGCTATAAAAACGGTGTACTTTGTTTTTCGATCAGATGTTGGGATCATATCGAAATTTTCAATCGAAAGTTGAAATTGCAAATTTTGAAGGAATCATTAGGTGATGCGTACAAAGTATACGTATCATTAGGTGATACGTAACGAAGTCAACGTATCACCTTTTGATTTCGTCAAGATTGTTATTATTTTTTTTTATTTATTATTCTTCCTCGAATTTGTTCGCAGGATATCTCAAGACTCATAAAGCCCATTGTTATGAATCTTTCACTGATGATAGATCTTAGTCTAACTTAGAACTGCGTGACTTTTCAAAGACTCAAAGTCATCGTGACGTCATCCAGGCGCCATTTTGTAAAAATCAACTTATGATCATATCTTCATAACGGAAAGTAATTTTACATTCATATTTATCAAGATTAAGATCAATATCCGTCGGATCAATATGAGGTCAATAAATGCGCGCAAAAATGCGCGTACGCGTAGGGCGCGCGTCAATGCGCGCGTAAAATTTTAAATTGCTCAAAATCGTCTTAAATTTTT